GTCGCATGGCCTACCTAAAAAAGATCTTGGGGCCGCAGAGCTTACTCAAGGGTCGCCTTAGGTCCATAAGGAATTATCAGTCGGTGCTGAACCTATACAAGGAATTACCAATAGCGACTGAACCTTCCAGAGTCTTCAGTCATACTAGAGTCCCAGAGTACCACGTATAAAATAATTTCTCTCAAGAAACAGATATATAAAAAATCAGAGCAGATATCAGAACAAAAATCAGAGAAAACATTTGTGTGATCAGGGAACACACTAGATGTTCCAGATATTATTCGGAGGTACTTGATAATATTATAGGACAGGGAAACACAAATCTTCAGTATACCAATAGAAATGTCAGAAATTAGAATCACTATCGAAAGAGTTCATTAGCTGACGAAAATCATCAGTTATTCAGAATGTGATTTATCAGGATCATATAGTATTCAAACATTTTTCGGAGGCACTAGGTAATCAGAAAGGTATTCAGAATACTTTGCATATGAGTTACTTGTGTTTTTAGATATGACAAGAGTGATTCTATTATTCAGGATAATCAGAGGCATTTTGGGCATTAGGTTCTTGGAGAATTCTTAGTGATTTGAGTTGATAAGGGAGAAAAAAAGATTTAGGGCATTTACGATTTTTGTTGATCTATCGGAATATCGAGTTAACTTGAATTGTAAAAATCCCGACCATGATACCTGACAACTGGTCAAATCGTTGCACTTCAAGAGTATTCACTCTTTAATACCGCCAACTCTTGTCAAATTGATCATCTTCAGAATCATCGATGAATGGATCTTAGGGAGACGAACAACTATTTCAATGGTATTTATTTAATTTTTATATTGCAACGATATCCGGGAATGTTGGCGTGCTTGATATGGGGTTCAAAACCCTTGTAGACGGTACAATATATATATACATATATAATATCGGTGTTTCCAGACTTATCCAAGTTATTCTGTTAATTTAAGGTCATTGATGGTACTTAGGTCATTTAATAGTCAAGTCTATCTCGGTTACTTCGGAGTTTCCAGAGTAATTCGGTCATTTTTGAAATTCGGATACATACAATTCTTCCATTCAGTTCAACTAGGTCATATAATTTAGTCATTCCAAGGCTTAGAGATATTTTGGATTATTTTACTCTTCAGGGGTATTTTGGTCATTTTTTGGTTTAAGGGTATTTCAATCCTTTCCTTCAGTCAGGTCTTTCCATTTAATAAAATTTGTCTGGACAATGCAAACATAAATAATACTCCCGATGTTTTAGCATTTAGGTATTTACTGATAAATCGATAATTCTAGGTATTGTACCTTCTCGGATGTAAGAAATGATTATCAGTGACTTTTCGAACATATCAGGAATTTAATAGATGAATCAATAGTTTATCGGATTAAATATGAATTCTCAGGGTACTTTCAATGTGAGGGTCAGTTCAGACCATTTTACCTCATAGGGTAATTTCGTAATTTCTTAATTTCTTAACCAGGTGATTTTGGTATTAAAGCTTTTAACAAGAACAAATAGAATTTAAAAATTCTGAGGTTATTTCCTTTTCCAGATAATCACCGAACTTGAAATCATTTCTTATCAGTCTTCTAGTGTCTATGCATGTAGTCTGAGCCTTATTCAAATTACTTTACTTTATTTCACATTCGGGTCGAGTTTAGAAAAAGATCAACTATATACATGTGATCAATTATATTCATCCGTGCAGTAATCAATACCAATATGTTCCATAAAGCATGAAAAAGTTTGTAATGTATCACCTCGATTTCTGTGCCCCAACGATCGGACATTTAAACTCCATTCGATCACTCTCAAACTTGAATTCAACGTCCAATAATTCTTCGGATACATAGCAATCGAATTTACGTCAGAAACTGAACTTAATTGAGAAACCATATTGAATCTGAAGGTAAATCACTGAAAAATGGCTTACCGGTGCGAATTTGGCAAAATAGACTTCATATTCGGACTCAAGACGTCGAAAAACATAAAATATGGCTTTTTTGGAAAATTTAACTTTTTTGTCAAAATCAACGGTCAACGATCAGACCAGCCAAAGTCAACGGTCAACGGTTTGACTCGGTCAAAGTCAACGAGTTGACTCAATGACTGGATCGGACCAAACGGGTCGAGTTGGGTTGGGCAGGCGAGTCGGGTCAGGTCGACCCGGTTCTGGAAAACTCCTTGGACCAAAACAAGCCTCACGCGCGGGTGACGGCGCGTGACACCGGGTGGCAGGCTTTGAGTTGTCGGCCGATTACTCCTTGTTCATCCACATATTCAAATTAACCAATATAAACCCAACAATCACAATAAAATTCTCCAAAATCACCGAAAACACAAAAATCTGAGCTTACCCACGGAGGACGGCGAGAACGACGATGGTGTGGCGACTCACGGATCGAGTTTTAATCGGAACTGGCAGGGGAACGCATTGGTAACGGCAGTGAACGACAACACCGACTAGGTCGGTCGAAATTAGATGAAGACAACGAAAAAATTTTAGGATTTCTTCGTGTGAAAAATCATCGATTCACAGCGATATAAGGCATTTTACGACGCGACGATGATCGAGCTTTGGTCAGGGTAATACGACGGTTTGAACAAGGGTGGCAGTGTATCAAACGACAGTCAGACGACTACAAATTTAAGTGATAAAGGGTGACGGAGGTTGTGTTTTGGGCTAGGGATTTGGGGATTAAAATTGGGGATTTTTAGGGGGTAACCGGGTTTAAAATTCATTGACCATTAAAAATGGGAAAATTTGGGTTCAAATCCCTAAATTTCCCACAAGTTCCAAAATTGAGTTACAACTTGTAGAAATTTACAATTTGATCCCCGACTTTTCTCTTGTTACTACCTTAATTCGATACTTTAAAATTAATAAATTTTATCCCCTAAATTAGGGTGTAACAATAAAATTAATAGTTTAGATATTAAACGTTTCTTTTATCTTAAAATAAAATAAATATTTTATTAAAATTGTGATACATTATATCATAACATTAATTTATTTAAGAAATAGTATGAAACATATTAATTTAGTTGTAGTTAATATGTTGTATTAACTATCGTTAATAACAATGAAATGAAAACATTCTTTAAGGACAATGATATTAATTAAAATTTTTAAATTTTGATGAAATAACTTTACTGAAACTTTTTCTTAAAAATTTAGTGATAACAAATGTAATTTAACCTAACAGAAAAATAGTAGAACTTATTAGACTTACATTTGAATTAAAAAGACCATTGTTTTAAATATTATTTAATATATATGTTAGTTCATAATCACTAAATTAGTTAAAAAAGTTTTGTTAGGAGGTGTTTAAGTTAAAAACAAACAATTATTTTATAATTCTATATATTCCCTCTAAATATAGAGATTACAAAGATTATAAATATAATAATATTTTATATATTTTTATAACTTAATATATTCCTTTTAAAATTTAATGTATCTTAAGTAATCCTCTCAATATCTTTACAAAATTATCTTTGACTGAAACTCTAAAAATTATAGAAATCCTAAGAACATTACACCTCTATAAAATAATTTTTTATAATTCTAAATTAAGATTTTTTATATTTATAAAGTTAAATAAATAATTATTAAATTTCATGATAATTTTTACTTAAATAAGTATTATTTATTAAATAAATTTAATTAATAGAAAATATTTCATCACTAAAATTATTATAAAACTTATTTTTCTTATCAATTATAATTTGAGTAAATACCCAATTAATTTAAACAAATTAATTTTACATAAAATATTTAAGAATTATATCCTATCAATAATTTTATAAATTATATTTATTTGATAATAATTTAATATCATATAATTTTTATTAATAGAAATTGTGTTTATAAAAGGAAAAAATAATATTTTAAAATGGCAATTCTTTTTGAACAGAAAAATGGGTAATTGTTTAAATGAATAGATACGCATATTATAATTTTCGATTTTTCATAGTAATATTCTAAATGGTTTGATCAATTTCTACTTAAGATTCTGTCATAATTACAAAGTAGGTTTAAACAGGGATAAAAAAACTTTTTATCCTTTAATTTGATAATTTTCTTAATGCGGTCTCTGAATATGCTTTTGGTCTATATTAGTCCCTGGATTTAGATTTTTTTTTAATGATTTGAGATTATGAGAGAGTGTCAAATGGAATCAAGAGTTTAGAGGAAAAAGAAATTAAATCACATTTAAAATACTTTGTTTGACAATAGTTAGCAAAAATATGGAAAAAAATAATGATATACTTGTTTTACAAGTATTATTAACGAAAATAAAATATTTCAACAAACGATCTTAATATATTGACAAAGTTATATCCATTTATTTTTTTAAATTTATAAAATCATATATTTATGAATAAAATATTTTATCTGACAGTCTCTTTCTCCTTGAGGAATTTTAAATCCGTCGATTAAATTTTCTAAAATTTCAAATTATACAAATTTTAACTTTTAATAAAAAAAATTGTTGCAACATATCTCCGTAAACTTTGCCATCGTTCAGGATAAGAATAGAGGAATCATTGGACCGCAAAATAAGCTTAAAACATGCATGAAACTCTTAAACTTTTATTCATTTAATTGAATATCAAATCAAACAAATTAAATTATTTAATCAATTTTCATTGATTTAAAAAGTATTAAATTTATCAGTAAACGTTGGATGAAAGAGATAATTGATGAAATTATAAAATATAAAAAATAATTGAGTGAAAAAATATATATATTTTTAATTTAATTCGAGAGTTTATGAAATTTTCAAATTGTGAAAATAAAAAAACATAGTTAAACAAATATTAAAATAAAAGGGCGTAGTCAGTAATTTAGCAATACTTTTGGATGTTATAAAAGGATGAGATCCGTAGATTTCATATTTGTTAGCGAACTGAAAGTTGAAAACTGAAAACTCACTGCCAATCACATAGGCGACAAACTTAAAAAGCTAAGAACATCAGCGTCGCTCCAATGGCTGAAACAGTCTCCAGCCACCGACGTGCAACGGTGGACCCCAACACCGGCTTCTGTCCCCAAAACAAAACATTCCATTCTCTCCGACCACACGTCCCTCTCCCGCCACCTTCTCAGCCTCTTTCCCTCCCTAGTTATGCCCTCTCCCTCCTCCGCACCTCCTCCTCCTCTGGCGAGACCGCTTTCATCGTCGATGCCACTAACGATCAAACCCTTTCTTTCTCCCAATTCATCCCTCAAATCCATTCCCTAGCTTATTCCCTGAAGAAAAACTTTTCACTCTCGCCAAACGACGTCGCCTTTATCCTCTCTCCTCCTTCGTTTCACGTCCCTTTGCTTTACTTCGCTCTAATGGCGTTGGGAATCGTTGTCTCTCCCTCCAATCCGCTCGCTTCCGAGTCGGAAATCGCTCACCAGGTTCGAATCAGTAAACCCGTTATTGCCTTCGGTACCTCGAAGACGTCTTCCAAGCTTCCATCTCTCAAACACGGAACAGTCCTCCTCGACTCGCCCGAGTTCCAGTCTTTCTTAATTCAACCAAACGTCAACGCCGTCATCTTCGATAGTGTCGAGGTGAATCAACACGACACGGCGGCGATTCTTTATTCTTCCGGGACAACCGGGCGAGTTAAAGGCGTGATGCTGAGTCACCTCAACATAATCGCGTTGATTGCCGGGTATTATCACATACCGTACACCCTCCAGGAAGCGGCGGACGAACCGCACCCGGTATCGTTTTTCACTGTGCCTTTCTTCCACGTTTTCGGGTTCTTTATGTTGGTGAGGGCGTTTGCGTTGGGAGAAACATTGGTTTTCTCGGAGAGATTTGACTTTGAGGGAATGTTGAGAGCCATTGAGAAGTACAAAGTAACTTTTATGCCGGTCTCGCCGCCGCTTGTGGTGGCGTTTGTTAAATTGGAATTGACTAAGAAGTATGACCTCAGCTCGCTTTTGCTGCTCGGCTCCGGTGGTGCTCCGCTTGGCAAGGAGGTCACTGAGCGGTTCAAGGAGAAATTCCCCACCGTTGAACTTATTCAAGTAAGAAATACTAATTCAAACAAGGAAGAACTGTTGATGGCCGAAAAGTATTTTATTTGAATATATTTTCGTATTTGAAATTTACATTCGAATCCGAATAATATAATCTTTTGACACTTCTCATGGCTTGTTAGGTTATGGTCATATGCACTAATCTATGCTACTTATCCTTTTTTTATATGCATATAAAATTATATTTGAATACATTTTAGTATTTAAAATTTACATTCAAATCTGAATAATATAATCTTTTAACGTGATAAATTTTCTTGGCTTGTTAGGTTATAGTCCTATGCACTAATCTATGCTACTTATCCCTAGTTTAGGTGGATGCTAATGGTATTGTTATTGTTGTTTTGATGTGTTAAGGGATATGGGTTGACTGAGACCGCCGGTGGAGCAACGAGGGTGATAGGGCCCGAGGAGGCAGCTCGGCATGGTTCGGTTGGCCGCCTTGGTGAAAATATGGAAGCCAAGATAGTTGATCCTGAAACTGGTGAGGCACTGCCTCCTGAGCAGAGGGGGGAGCTTTGGTTAAGAGGACCAACAGTTATGAAGGGTATAACTCTTTTGCCTTCATCATCTGGCATTGTATGGTTACCAATTAAATGCTAATAATATGATTTTGTTAGGTACATATTGTGTAAATGACTAAATGTGCTGCCAGAATTTATGTGTGCCTGGAAATTTAAGCAACGTACTGGCTTGTAATAGGTTTCACTTTGTCCTTTTTTAGCTTTGGTGGTTGCCCAGTTTTCGTGGTCAAAACTTTCTTCTCTTGGCAAATTCTCATTTCAAAAGTTCGCTTGTAATGGTGTTGTTGTACAACTGGAGAGATGATGGTTGTCGATGTTAGTGGCAGTTCGTTTTTTTGATTTGGACAGAGAATTGTCAATTACGATGGTGAGAGGGTTGAGAGAGAGTGGTGCGACTCGTTCAAGTATTACAATTAAAACTCCTTTTTTGAAAAGAGTTGGATTTGATTAAAATTCACCCGTACATGCAAACAAGACTGCTTGAATCCGAGTCATCTAGGCAGAAGTGGCATATATTTTGCTGAACGGCATTTCATGAAGTTTAGTTCATGGTAACTTATTCTTGATGCTGTGAATGTAGGGTATGTAGGTGATGAGAGGGCAACTGCACAAACCTTGGATTCGGAAGGCTGGTTAAGAACTGGTGACATTTGTTATTTCGATTCGGAGGGTTTTCTCTACATTGTCGATAGATTGAAGGAATTGATCAAATACAAAGCATATCAGGTGAGTGTATCTTACTCGATTTTGGATACGAGTGTTGTATACAGATATGTTCAAAATCTTTTAAATGATCATATTTTCGTACTCATGAGGGTATCGAAACAGGTCCCCCCAGCTGAATTGGAACATTTGCTTCTTTCCCATCCTGAAATTGCCGATGCTGCTGTGATTCCGTATGTATTCTTTTCTTTTTCCCAATGATGATTTTTGATATAATCTATGATACTCGATATAGGTAATAATATGATGTCGAGTCACGTTCCATAAAATGGTTGAGCAGGTACCCGGACGAAGAAGCAGGGCAGATTCCCATGGCGTACGTAGTGAGGAACCCTGGAAGAAGCATCACAAAGGCACAAGTCATAGATTTCATTTCAAAACAGGCATGTTTCCAAAAACAACACAAACAATGTATGTTGTTCTTTAGTAGGCAAATCTGATATGCAATAGTGGATTTTTTGTCACTTTTGTAGGTGGCGCCATACAAGAAGATCCGGCGAGTTGCTTTTGTAAATTCAATACCAAAATCTCCGGCAGGGAAGATCTTGAGGAGGGAACTGGTTAATCAATCTCTTTCTGCTGCAAAATCTAAATTATGAAGAAGAAAAAATTATATTGTTTTGTTTTCGTAAAACAATGTTTCTTGGATTTTTAGTGCATTGTTGGGTTGATCACTTTCATTGTATATAGTTATTCAATCTAATTCATGTTTTATTTTTTTTATATATAATTACACTAAATCAACCTAACCTGTTTTAATTACATTAAAACCTTGAAAGTTCTACAGCTTATAGTTTCTTAAACACCAATGAATTATTATTATTTTTAGTTAATTGCATCATACATCATCAAATTTGATTTTCATTTTAAATTGTTCTTTAAAATTTTGAATATTTTTATTTCATCCTCAAATCCTGTCCCTCATTTTAAATCGGTCCCTAAACTTTTGAATCTTTCAATTTCATCTCCAAATTTATCCAAAGATGTAATAGTTCAATTATAGTGAAATTGAAGTTTTATTTTTTTCAAACATATAATAATATAGTTTGGCCTAACAATTTTATTAACCAGGGATATGATTAGCATACGCTAATCACATGTTTTCTTTTTTACCACCACATGTTCCGACCGCCACCGGTAGCCAAGCACCGCCATTCATCGATCATATGTTGCGACAAGATAGGTACCAAAACGTTCATATTTCACTTCTATTTCTTCTTATAGGATTGTTTTTTCATGAAATCCACTCAAGATCGACGAAAATCCATTTAAAAGTTCAATAGATTAATACTTCAATCCCTTTCAGTAACCGGTCGATGAGGCTAATTTTGAGGTATGTTGTTCATCTTCTTGAAATAATGATTTTTCATCGTTCAAATTTTTTAACACACCCTAAATCCCGTAAATTTAATAAAGTCTCCAAACATTTAAAAATGGTAGTTTTTTTGTGTTTAATTTCTTTGATTTTGAGTGAGTTCCATAGAAAACTAATCATATGAGAAGAATGAGAAGTCAAATGCAAACATTTTGATATTGATTTTGCTACGAATAATGATCAATGACTGGCAACGAAATTGGCTGCCGACGACGGTAGGAAAATGCAATGGTAAAAAAGAAAACTTTTTAAAAATTCAGTGGCATAACCGATACACCCCTAAAGTTTAAAGTCTAAAACGATAACGTTCTAGGGTTGCATGCTACGTCAACAACCGTTAACTATGTCATCGTCTCGTTACTGACTTAACGGCGGGGCGACATAGTTGAAAGTAAAACAAAAGTTGAATGCTATAATTGGTAAAATTGAAAGTTCAACAGTATAAACGAGTCGACAGATAAAATTTAGTGGTATCTGGTGTAGTCACCTTTTTAAAATTTTATATATTTTTAAGATTATTTAATAGGTGAAAGTAGATAGTTGGAATTACTAGATATTTATTAAGACATAAAATAATAATTTCAACGGTCTAATTTTACTTATTCAACTGACTTAAAAGTATAGAATTAAAATTATATATTAGATGCCAGCATCATAATCCTTAATCGTAACTTTATTTCCGAATGTCAAATTAATATTGAAGATAAATTTGTATTTTTTTTTTCAACTTTGCCACCTTAACATAACAAATTAAAAGTATTTGAAGTACAATCGGGTTTGGGTGGATGTTAATACCATGGTTTTGATTGAATTAAAAAAGGGATATGGGTTGACTGAGACGATCGGCGGAGCAAGCAGTACAGTGGATGTGGAGGAGGCATCTGGGTACGGTTCAGTTGGGAGACTTGGTGCAGATATGGAAGCCAAGATAGTTGATTCTGAAACTGGTGAGCCATTGCCTCCGGGACAGAGAGGAGAGCTTTTGTTGAGAGGCCCATTAGTCATGAAAGGTACGCCATTAGTCACAAATTTAAAATTTTACATGATAAGTTTATACTGACGAAAAAATAAACTTAAAATATTATATATTTATAATTTTTTAATTATTGATTACACATATGCTCTCAACATGGTTTCACTTAATATATATATATATATATATATATATATTTGTAATAATCTAAATTTTAAAGTGATAGGATCTATTTATACATGATGTGAAATTAAAAGTTTTATATGTTTTAAGATCATTGGATTGAGAGAAATTAATGGTCGAGATTAACTCCTTATTTTCTTTTTTAGTGAATATATTCTCATTTATTATTGTTAATCTCTGTCTTTGATTTCTCTTATCTAATAGCCCTAAAAAGGTATAGTTTTACACCGAGTGTAAACGGATCTTGTCCCAATTTTAAAATATGAATACTTGAAAAAAAATTAATTTGACTTTTAATTTTTTAAATTTAAAAATTTCAGAAAAGTATAAATATTATAGAAAATCTAAAAAAAAAAATTAATGATAAGACTTTTTTTTTAAAAAAAAAGATTTTTTTACCAATTTTTTGCCACGCGATACTACTTTTTGATAATAACACTTGACCTATAATTTGATTTTGCATATTTTAATGGGTTTTTTTTAAATAATAAAGTCAGTCTCTAATTGTTTTGACATGTGATGGCATTTTATTGTGTCATATTAGTTTTTTTTTTAATAAAAAGAGGTGATAAAAAGTATAAGATTTAAATCAATCAAAAAATACTACAAGAATGAAAATAAAAATTTCAACATAATACATAAACAAATTAAATATTAAAATTATACCTTTTTACTTGTAAAAAAAATATAAACATATATTATTGTATGACATTCGCTTTTATCATTTTGATTTGGGAAATCTTGGTTGGGTATAAAATTAGAAAACTGGATGAGCCTTCAAGGTTTGGTTACGTAGGTGATGAGAAGGCAAGTGCAGAAACCTTGGCTGGTTAAGAACTGGCGACATTTGTTATTTTAATTCTGAGGGACTTCTCTACGTGGTAGATAGATTGAAGGAGTTGATCAAATACAAAGCATATCAGGTCAATGAATTGTTCTACGCCATATCTTATTGGATTTTAGACACGATATGCATATATTTGAAAGATTCTTAGAGGATCATTTTCTCCCACTCGTATTCTTAAAAAATGATTGCAGGTCCCCTCAGCTGAATTGGAACATTTACTCGTTTCCCATCCTGAAATTGCCGATGCTGGTGTGATTCCGTACGTATTCGTTTCTCTCTTTCTGAATGATGATGATGATATTTGGTTGTATAAAGGCTTGTTGTATGTAGACTTTCGATTCGTTCAAATCCGCGAGCAGGTACCCGGACGAAGAAGGAGGGGAGATACCCATGGCATATGTGGTGAGAAACAATGGAAGTAGCATCACAGGTCATGGATTTCATTGCAAAACAGGTCTGTTTCTAAAACAACATATATCAGAAATATATGCTTATTTTCCTTGTTAATTATATTAGTTTTCTTCCTCGGCTAACTCCAAGTTGGTGTGTTTTGGTTTAATCTGTCTCCGGTTCGTTCGACCCCAACTTCGGATAAGATCACCTTTGCATACTTCTTTATCTATTCAATTAAGCCTTTTTGAAATCTCTCAACAAATTATCCTTTGACACCTCTCCAGTTCCCCAACGTCTGGATCAACCTCTATGCAGACTGAACAAATATTTTATTTTAAAATATTTTATTTTTCACGCTTTACTTCTGGACTAATTAAGTCTTTATGAAATTTCTCCGACTCCTTAACATTCATATCCCGTTATCTCACCGTTCATGTCTTTTCTTTATCTAATTTTTGCAATCTCTACTTTCAAATGTATGAAAGAGCATTTTTATGACCTAACGTTGAAATTAACCCCCAACGTTTATTAAAATAATTATTTTAGTTTTTATTCTTTTTATTAGAAGATTTACCCTCTTTCTCCAACATTTTATTTTAGGATAAAAAGATCTCATTATGGATAAAAATGCTTGTGAACAAATAGATAGTGTTTCAAAAGAGGAGATTTTTATCCTAAAATAAACGGTTACGGGTCAAAATGCTAAAAAAAGAATATAGTTCAAAATGACTATTTAATTAAATGTCGAGTCTTTTTGTCATAAAATAAAATGTTGGAACCCAAAATATTTAAAAAAAAAATACCAAAATAATTATTTAATAAATATTAAAGGTAGTTTTGATATTATGCTTTTTTATGTGTTTAAGTTTTATATTTATTATTTTTATTAATATGAGGTAAGTATAAGGTAGTATCTAAAGATAACTCGAAACCTCAAGGTACAACAACAATTCATTTACCACCGAAATCACTTGATTCGTGATAAGTTTTATATTTATTTATTCTAAATGTTAAACACGTTAAAAAGCACCGTCGATAGGGAAAAGAAACGTGTTAATTATTAAAATTTATTTAGTGTTTATTGTAGTTAATATTTAGGGTTAACTACACGGATGATCACTTATGTTTGTGTTTTGTCTACTTTTGGTCGTTTATTTCAGAAAACATAAGATATGGTCACTTTCGTTTTTATTTAATTAAGATGTAGTCACCCTGAGTTAAGTGTCGTTAACAACATTTAAATAATAAGATATGGTCACTTTCGTTTTTATTTAATTAAGATGTAGTCACCCGAGTTAAATGCCATTAACAACATTTAAATATTTTGATATAATCACACATTTGGTCCTTGTTATTTACATTTCTCTCATTTAATCATACTTTTCATAAATTAAAATAAATATAATCCTCTAATCGAATGATGCCACATGTCATCATTCTGTTGGAGGACTAACTTTATTTTAATTTAATATATTTATTTCCACCAATCAAAGAGTGACATGTGTCACCCTCTGGGTGAAAGAAAACAAAGGAAAGCAAATTGGGGCAAAAAAATATTCAAATCTTGGTCACATAAGAAACTAAACATGTATCCAACAATTAAGCCAAGACCATTGCTTGGTCCAAAGTAGACAACATGTTGTATATATTTTGTATCTTAGTGTATGAATATTTAAATTCATAATATTTATATATATTAACTTAAAAAATATTTTTATATTAACTTATTAAATATATTTTATTATTAACTTAATTTAAAAATATTTTATTTTAAATTTTCATTTAATATATTTTATGTGAAAATTTATTTAAAAGTATGACTAATTTG